CCCCAAAACCCCAAAACCCCAAAACCCCAAAACCCCTGGGTGAAGAGATACCTTGAGATAATATAATTTTACGAATGAATACTGAAATGGCATATAGAACCAAACCTACCAGTCCCACTCAGAAGGCTCAGCCAAGCTGCACTGGGAAGACCAGCCTTGCATACTTGGACCTGAAGAAGTACAAGAAGGAAGGCAGTCAAGCCAAGAGGGCTGGAACTGAAGACGAATTTGTAATGTGCATGAAAAGAAAGTTGGAGTCCATAGAGAATAAGTTCAAAGTCGTACAGATCAAGCAGAAGACGAGTAAGAGCACAAACAATCCTTTTAAATCTCAGGATCTTAATGTAGACTCTCAAGGAGATTTCAGTGGATCTTCGGCTATTACAGGAGAGATTTGTGTTGAAAAAAGAAAATTTCAAGGTTTTAGGAGTCCTAGAGATGCTGGCCAGAGAAGTGAGCATTTAGCTCATTATGAGAAATCTGATACCTTGGATTTATCTTTGATAAATGAAAGAGAGAAGTATATTAACAGTCCAAATGGTGTGCTGTATCAGAGTTATACAAAAAATACTGGTCTAACAGAATCAAATATTGATCCATGTAAATTTAACTGATCTAACTAATGATCAATCTGACCTCTAGTTTAGATTCTCCACCTCCAAAGCCCTCGGAAAACCCAGATATGTCTGATTTTACCATAACCAGTACAATGCTTCCTTGAGGGCCTGTTCCAGTCAGGAAGAGGCCAAATAATTCTAAAAGAGGTTTGAAGCATTCTAATTCGCAATACCTCGCTCATTTAAAGAAGAAGTTCATTAGAACTAAGAAAGGATCGCCTGGAAAATCCCAAAGGAGGATGAAGAAGGATCCTCAGTTTATCAGAAATAGTAGGGTCAAGATTTCTGACTCTACGAAGCAAGTATTATTTTGTCGTCAGAAATCAATCGACTCTAAAACCCCAGTCAAGGCTAAAACAAGAAGGCAAACTAGAAATATGAACAAAAATGTCAGTATAAACAGCAGAAGAAGGTTAAATTCTGAGGTACTATTCTTAATAGTCTGAGACATATATCTACTTCACCTCTAAAATGCTTTGGAGTTTGCAAAAGCTCATTTAGAGGAAAAACTCTTTATTTTACTATAATAAGAGATCTTCTCGAAACAGCTTATTCCATAAGCTGTTTTAGTTTTCAAATGTACAGCCATACTACATAATATTGTTTGGAATCATAACTACTCCAGAGTAAAACTAGTGGGACTCACCACCATATCTTGATTGTAGTGACTCTTCCCTCAGGTTTAGGCTACAAATCTTTAAATGTCCAAAGTTTTATAAAGCCAGAATAATTTTATTTCCTGTCTGTTAGAAATGCTTAACAACAATTTAGCAAGAGAAAAGAGAGCTTAGAGAACAGTGTACAAAATATTTTCCTAATATTAAAAGATGTAAATCTATGTATAAAAGCCCAAAGGCTTCTATCCCGAAAGCTAGGAATAAACAGGACCAGAGAGAATCTGCTAGAAATAACAAAAGGTATACGCCCATCTCTGAATATGTAGGAAGAGCTATACTCCTTATAAGTTTAATGTGGTAACTAAGGAAGTTAACCTTGAAGATACCTTGAACGACTCCAAGTCAGACGATATTGATCAGTAAGAATTTAATGCAATTGATTTAGGGATGATTTTGTTCAGAAGTACCTCACTAAAAATTTTTACTAAATTCCTTCAGGATATATTTCAACAACTTCTGTGAACAATGGGGTTTTGGGGTTTTGGGGTTTTGGGGTTTTGGGG